GATCAGCTGTGACAAATACTCGATATATATGACTTTGATCTTTACTAAGTGATCAATCAATTGTAAAAAAGAAATTAGTCTTACAGAAGGTCGGTTGTGACATAAATGCCTCAATGGTAATGTCTCCGACTATGAAGCTAAGTAAAATGAGATTGAATTCGCCAGGGTTCATCAGTTCCTTCAATATTACAGGCACATCATACAGACAAATTCCAAATAACACCAAACGTGTGTCATTAGGTTTCGTCCCGACTACCAACATTTTATTGATCGTGTTTAAGTAACATCCATTTTGGTAAATTTATATATGCATATAATAATAAGCTGAGAAGTTCATTATCCATTTGAGAACTGTTCATAAAACGATAGATTGTAGATGATTAAAATGTATAATTTAATCAGGTTTGAGTAAACATAAAAAGAAATTCTTTCAGTTAACATCTGATAGACTGGTTGACAAAATTAGAAAGTGTGGGTATCACCCACAAGTGCCCTCAAAATGTCCTGGTACAGCCGAGAGTGGGGGAGTCCGCTCTCCCTCTACAAATGCTATCATATGGCCACACGTATATAGCCTCTGTCAGGGAAGTCCTATTGATTGCCTTCTCGCATCACGGGTGTTGTTTACGAAATCGAGAGGATGAAAAGCGAATATCCGATGCTTTAACTGGGTTAGTGGACATGGAAAGTACACCTAGAAGAGTTGGAAACCCCCCATTTCAAACCAATGGTGCACACGGCTACCATGAGACTGCATCTCCTCACGATTCTCTACTGCCTTGTGGACTAGACCTTCAGGACAAAGGTTTGGGGTGTGGCCCCCTTAGAAAACCTCCTGCTTCAGTCTGACCACTTGGGTAGTATCACAGCCCTCAGACAAATCAAATGAGATTTGTGAGGTGCATATATATCTGATACTTACTTGTACCAATATTTATGTGTTTAAATAAATAAATGATCACCCACACTATTCTCACCATGGACTGAAGAGTTTCGTAATTACTTTACGACTTTTAATAACATTGTCCTATCAAAAAACAGTATATATTCACTTGTCTAAAGAATGAAAGAAAACCTAGCTCTTCACACACACCCCGAATAGTAGATGCAAGTTTGACTCTCTATATATTTTCTTGGATAAATTCAGGTTTTAGAAAAAGCCAGAATCATATTTTAATTATGAGATGATTCAATGAGAATCCTCTCGATACATTTTCATGAGTTACATTTTATTTATCTATTTCATCTGAAAGCCCTAATTTGAAATCTGGAAGGGAAGCGGAAAAGATGATGGCCAAAGGACACATTGCGTCGGAAAATAGAAGCAGATATGAAAAGGATTAATGTTAAGTGGAAAGAAGTGGTAAGGACTGTCCAAGACAGAGTTGGATGGATAATGCTGGTGAGTGGCCTATGCCCCCTATGGTAACAGGGGTAAGTAAGTAAGTATTTCATCTGAACAATCTTTATTTATCAAGCATTCTGTTTTACACTTTTCTACTGAATTCATATATTACATTGTCTTCAATTAGATAATTTCTAGTTTAAACCGGTCAATATTTCTATCCTAGTGCAGCTGATACAAGTTGGTCATACTGTTAGCACGAATCAATCATTCACAATGATTCATAATGATATCCATCCATTGATAATAGCTGGTGTAGGAGTAGGTTGAAAGAAAGCTATGGGTAGCCAAACCAACATATAGGATCAATGTATAAAGATACTGATCTTTTGACTAAGCTATGTAGGTAGGCGTAGACTACCTGTTTAAGGTCTGTATGATCATCACTGCCAATAGTTAGAGACTTTGAGTGACATGGAACAAAATCGTTCCCAATGGTTCAGATGTAAATTACTCTTTTTTCGCCTTGGATGGCAAGTTCTTAAATTCCTTACTAATTTTTATCGAACTGTCACTTGAATGTCTAATCTTTTTTATTACTATTAATACTGTTCCTACCTCTACTAATCTAGGTTTTACCTTGCAAATTTCATCGTATTTTGACCCATGAGCTATAGCAACTTGAACCAATGTGCACTTATCCCAGGTTCTACGTTGAGTTTAATTGACTGACTGATTGAACTTATCATAATTATCTGCCAAGATCTCCCAAAGTCTTTAACATCACTGAGGTAATGGTAAGCAAAGATGGATAATGGCTAGCAGTGAAATCCATGACGCGCTCCCACTTCGTCCTATTGGGGACTCGTCAGCTGGATGTACCTGCATCTCAAATTTGATGTTCACTCTGAAGTAATATTTATTCCGATTGAAAAATCAGAACTTTGTGTAGAAAAAGAAAAAAGAAATCTGTTCAACCTGTTCGTTGACTATGGTCAACTACAAGCACAATAGGTCAATAGTTATTTTCAATTATAAGATGACCTTATTTGATCGATATGCACACAATCTACCTTTCCCTATTTTCATTACTTATATTTAGTTGGTTCAAATATTATGAAGGATTTAAGTACCATCCAATACACTTTATTGTATGGTATTGAATTCAGTTTATTGAACACCCCTTCATGAGGGGTAACACGCGTAAGTAAGTAGGTAAGTTCTGATTCACCCTAAGTAATCTGATTTTTTTTATTTTATACTGGTTACTTATATATTGTAATGAGTTCAGTGTACTAACCGACAATTTACAATGTATAGTTTTTTAGTTTTTAAAAGATATATTTTTCTTTAATTATGACTATACTATTTGGATTATGAATTTGAACTTAAAACCATGTAGAAGTTGGCGAGAATTAATTGAAGAGCCCCCAAATGCCCTGGTACGACCGAGGGTGGAGTGGGTTCGCTCTCCTCCAAATATTTTTACATGGCCACGCGTATAAAACCACTACAAGGGAAGTCCTATCCACTGCCTTCTCGCACGACGATTGTTGTTTACGAAATTGAGAGAACGAAAAGTGAATGTCCAGTGCCTTAATCGGGTTCGTGAACACGGAGGGTGCACCTATGAGAGTCGGTAAACACTGATTCCAAACCAATGCTGCACATGGATTTCAGGATCCCGAGTAGAACAACTGATCTATGAACCAATTATTGGTCACTGGATACCATGGGACTGCATCTCATTATGTTGCTCCATTACCTTGTGGATCAGATCCTTAGGTCGAAGGCTCCGTGTGTGGCCCTATAATAAAAAACCACGTGCTTCGATCTGGGCACCTGGTGAGCATCACAGTCCACACACAAATGAAATGACTTTTGCATATGTGTTCGGTGCCACTTTCTATCAATATGTTCAAATAAAGGAATACATACAAATTGAAGAGTAAGAAAAGAAAACTTTTATTTATTCAAAAATTCTAGACATGGAGAAATTTGAAAAGTTCTTTTCAATCATCAATTGTCAATGTAACTCATAAGTTAAACTTTCCGTGTCGGACACTAGTTTTTTATCCTCTCAATTTTGTAAACAACACACGTGATGCGAGAAGGCAATTAGTAGGACTTCCCTGACAGAGGCTATATACGTGTGGCCATATGATAGCATTTGTAGAGGGAGAGCGCACTCTCCCCACTCTCTGCTGTACCAGGGCATGTAAACAATAATCATTGTTCAAAAATCAACAATTAATTTCATAATAGCCGGCTACCGAATTCCTGTGTACACACTCGACATTAATACATTAAATCATATTCTGTGAATATTGATCGGTTCATAATCTCAATTAAGATTGTGTAAACATTATAGAAGTCTTAAGTAAATAAATCTAATCGTGTATTTCATTCAACACTCTAAACAAAAGAGCTCTACGTCATTGGAGAATCTAAAATCAAGCTAAACTTCATGGCTAAGCTAAATTCTAGGCTTATTTTCAATTCCATTATAGAAATCTTATGTGAATATACCTTCCTACTTTTCATGTCAGTTATATCTTACTACTAATTAATTTGAGTAGTTTGTACAATACTTCAATGAAAGATTGAACCTCGTAACGGTGTATACATATATGTATGTAAACGATTGTAATTAGGGTAATACCTGGTTAGCATAGTAACATGAACAAGTAAGGTTATATGTCAACTGCACCTTTTCCAATGTTCAATAAATGTGTTACATTCAGTATTTTCGATTATGTTTCTCTTCATTTAATGGGTAAATAGGACGTAATTTTGATTAAGGACTTCATATTAAGCCTTGATTTACACTGCAATTAAGCTGTACTACATTGGTTAGTTTATAGGAGACAGTTGAGAATAACTCTAGATGCTTAAAAAAAAATGAAAATCACTAACTAATACTTATCAATATCCGTTGACTGGATATCATCAGAAACAGCCTACTGTACCAGACGACAAACCAGATTCCAGCTGATGAGGAAATTAAGAAAATACGTTGGAAGTGGATAGGACATACCTTACAGAAATCATAAAACGACATTACGAAGCAAGCATTAATTTGAAATCATGAAGGCTCAAGAAATTGAGGAAGGCTGAAGAACACACTACGTCGGGAATTTGAAAAGAATGAATAGCAACTAGAAAGGATTGTTCATTATAGGATTGGATGGAGAATATTGGTGGGTAGCCTATGCTCCTCCATGAGGGTTAACAGACGTAAGTAAGTAAGCGACCGGTACTCATCCATCCAATCAATACAAAAAGTAATCAAAACTACTAGATATTACACACTTATAATACATTGAAAATCTTTCTTCTTCATTCAATGACAAATAGTACTAATAAACAAATAATGAATTTTTATAGTTGAAAGCGTGAGTCAATTGAAGTTAGACAACCATAAAAAATCTGGAAGCACTGAATGTTCGTTTCGTCCTACTGTGAGACTCCTCAGTGGCAGTGCGCATCCACAACTTCGCCTCGTGACATTCGAACCCAGGACAAAACGGACGTCCAGTGCTTCCAGGTTTTCCCCGATGGTCTATCTTCAATTGACTCACACTTTCAACTATGAAAAATATTAAAAATCTCCACAAAACCCCTTCTGATAATAAACAAATAATGAATTACTTACATGTTGCATTAGTTTGTAAGATGTTCAATATTACATATAATACAATCATAGAATAATTCCATAATGAATATGAATGTAAAACTTGAATTAAAGAATTCATTTGTCCCGGGTTTTTTTTTGTTGTTTTTTTTTGTAAATGAAATCAACAATCAATGGTGTGTTTCTATGTAGAAACACAAAGACACACACACACACAAAGAGAAGAAGGAGAAAAGTGAGTATAGTTCAATGGTTCTTTTCTTGATTACGTAATCCTTGTTGACTTAGATAAGTTGATATAATCCAACTATAGAGAGTAAATATATTGATTGATTTATTTAATAATGAATATACTACTAATTAAATTTAGTGTTCTAGAAATGTGGTTTCTCTTTTACAATCTTCTTTGGGTATATATAGAGATAAATAACTTAATGAGTGTTGCCAAGCTCATTAGAAAAAAAAAAGGTGGCTATCAACTTTTTAATTTATATTGTGTGTTACTAATTTAGTGTAATAGTTACAGGTTATTGCTACTACTAGTGTGTTGTCATTCATATGTGTTATTACACAAACGCACAGTGGTTATTCTATCTCTCTCTCTCTCACTCTCTGTGACTCTTTTACACACACACACACACTTACGCACCTACGCACATTACTATTGCTATCTTTGATATTTCTGTATTCTATATCTTTTTTTTGTTTGTTACCATGGTACAACAAAATAGTTTTAAATGACCTGCACACACACACACACACAAACAAAACATCAATAGATCCCATTATTATTACTGTTATTAGTCAGAACATGTGTCCCAATAGTTTATACACCTACACACAATAACCCCAGATAATGGTTATTTTAAGTAATAGATAGAATAACAGTTATGTATATGCATAATTGCGTGCATAGTTAGTTACAATGACCTTGTAAACCTATTGTGCCATAAGTAACCAATCCTATGAAAGTTTATATGATTAATACACTATTCTATATATTCATTTGTTAATAATAATCATAATAATCATATGCAGTTGGTCTGAATGGATGATAGCTTGATGAGACAAAACGGATAGGTAGTTAGTTTGTTAGTTACTTATCAACAAACACTAACTTCTTCTTTTTTCACCGGCTTTTCAACTAGATGTAACTATACTACACTAAATACATACATGGATACAACACTTTATTGTCTTATTGTAATAATATGTAACAACAACAACAACGAAGATAGTTGATGTTCACTAACATTTGCACTTCGAGTGAATTTTAGAACCATGGTCACATATTGTATTATTAGTCAGCCTATCCCCTTTCTTTTAAAAAGAAAACTGTATCAGATCCAACAATGTAATCAATAATAATAATAATAATAATAATAATAATAATAATAATAATAATAATAATAATAATAATATAAGCAAAGATGAATAGTGTTTCGTCCTATTTGAGATTCGTCAGCTGTGTGTGCCTGCATCTCAGAGTTGATGATCACTCTGGGACTTGAACCCAGCTTGTGATTTCAGGCAGTATCGAGGCAGTCCGCATAGGATGCACATATGTCAATAAGAGACAGATCAATTGGAGTCCAAAATAACAATTGGAAGATACAAGTAAACAACAACAAGTGAATATAACTTCACCCCATCGGACAAGCAGGTGGCTGTCAGGATTCAGTAGCCAAGTGGATAACGCGATGGTGTTTGAAGCGGATGGTACTGGGTTCGAGTCCCATAGTGAACATCAACTCAGGGATGCAGGCAAATCCAAAATAATAATGCGAAGATACAAGTAAACAACAACAAGTGAAAATAATAATAATAATTTTGCTGTTCATAACCATTTGGTAATTCCTTCCGAAACTTCCTCTCATAAAGAAAAACTCTACGCAATAATTCATTTCTTCTAAATAGACAAACTTAGTTAATTATGGTCAGTTAAGGATAACTGACATCATTTTATTTATGCCTTATAGTGGCTAAAGATAGAATTTTATCGATCAAGTTTCATCATTGGCACTTTAGAGTAAGTAAGTGGACTTGACATGATGGTATAGTTTGTTTCATGTTAAGCGGTCGGGAGATAGTTATTAGAAAATTCTACTTGATCAAGATTTCGAGTTATTTGGAAGTTAGTTGGAAGTAGTCGATAAGAGACCCAGTCTGAATTACCTTACATGCAAGATATCATTCATCAACAAGACCTACCCCAACTATTCAAGAAATTGAAGGTCCCAACAAGATTTGAATGCTGATTATCAAGCTTTACAGTCTGAGATATTACTATTAAGCTACTCGGAACCCAACTGGTATATTCACAATAGATGAACCACTGAGTACAGACCATGACCATGCTTATCTACTCCTTAATGCTGTTCGAATTCTATCGATGAAGTTGCACTGGAACTACTAGTTAAAGTGAATTGACATCATGAACACCATATTAGGATGTTAATCAGTTAGGTGTAATCGTTTACAAAAAGTATTCGAAATCTTGAAGGAAGGGATGTTATACTCTTGGGTCTCAAATCCATGTCACCAATTGTTTTGTTTAACTGTGAGTGATGTGGTGAGTATAGACTGACCATTGTTTAACTAAAAGGAAACTCTAGAATGTTAGATATCAAGGGTACAACCATATTCTGATGAAGTCATTGAACGAACATTTAAAATCATGGTAACCAATATTGCGTAACAGCCCAACGCCATTACAAACAGCTCGACGCTAGAAATCATGTGTTTCACTAGATTTCGAATTTTGGATGGATCAGATAATGATTCTCTTGTGGAATTGAGTATTAGAATTAGGATGTAAGTTTTAGAAGTATCAGAGCTATTGTAATATGATTTCCAGCACACTCTAAAGATATTTACCCATAACAAGTTTCCAAACTGTGATAAAACCTCATTCTAAGTTACTGGATAATTCGTTGTTTCGTTTTAATTTGATAATCTTCAATATCCAAGAATCCACATGGAATTGAATCTAACTTCTCTCTCGATTTCTTTAGTTCTAATTCACATAAACAAAGATTTTGTTCCAAATATACATTACCCAAGAATCTGATCTAACAAATTACCGCAACTGTCTTAAATGATCTATCGGTCTATCAGCTAAGTGCTCTGGCGCGAGACTGGTAGGTCCTGGATGCGAATCTCGTGAGGCGAGATCGTGGATGCGCACTGCCATTGAGGAGTCCCATAATAGGACAAAACGGCCGTCCAGTGCTTCCAGGTTTTCCATGATGGTCTAGCTTCAATTGATTCATGCTATCAACTATGAAAATACCGAAATCTCCACAAAACCCCTTCCAACTTTAAATGATTATTATGTTATGAATTTAATACAGATAAGTCATCATCTAAACGATCAATAATCACTGACCAATCAGGATTCAGTCTTAAGGACATGAAAGTAAAATGAGTACTAATGTGTCGGTGAGAATGATAATGAATGGTTGTTTAGATAGTCAGATTAGTAGGATAGTCTGACAGGTACTAGATGAGTTATATATTCTCCTAACCTTACTTTTAATGTGATTGTTGCCGGTTTTTGGTGTGGAGGTATGTCTACATTCTAGTCCGGCTAGTCACGTGTTCTTGACCTGAGTTGGGTTGAAGTTCTGTCAAAGACAAAAAACATCCCATTCGTAAAGACGAAGGAAACCCCGAGCATTATAATGAGTACCTTGAATGGATTGAAACATTTACTTTGATGATGAAGAATTATTAGTCCCATCAGATAGTAAGTCAAGAATATACACCAATCTCAACAATAATCCTGTTTGTGTTCTCTATCATTAAAGTTTAAAATATGAGCATACTATTTAACGATTATAGTAAAGGAGCTGATAATGGGTTAGTATTTATGTACAAACTGAGTGATTACTTGACTAGTTATTTACATCTTTTGTAAAAAGCCCCGAATGCCCTGGTATGGTTGAGAGTGGGGAGAGTCTGCTCTCCCACTCAAAATGCTCTCACATGGCTACGCGTATATAGTCTCTGCCAAGGAAGTTCTACCTAATGCCTTCTCGTGGCACCGGTGTTGTTTACGAAATCGAGAGGACAAAAAGTGAATGTCAGGTGCTTTAACCGGGTCCACCTACTGTAGTCGGAAAACTCTGATTTCAAACCAATGGTACACATGGACTACAGGATCCTGAAGGAACAAATGGTGTATGAATCAATCGTTGGTCACCGGCTACCATGGGACTGCATCTCCTCACGATGCTCTACTGCCTTGTGGATCAGACTTTTAGGTCACAGGCTCTGGGTGTGGCCCCCTAAAGAAACCACTTGTTTCAGTTTGGGCACGTGGGCAGTATGGCAGCGCATATTTATCTGGTTCCTCTTTGTACCAGTATTCATGTGTTCAAATAAATACAAAAAAAACTGTTAAGAATGTAACGGGAAGATATTGATTGATTCTATTTTGTAAACTAGACAAATTAAATTGGGTTATTTGTTTAATGAAATTTGATAGAGATATTGTCTTCTTTTCGAGACTTTCTCTTTGTATTTAACAGACAAAGTTACCATGTTCTTGTGTAATGTAATTAGGTATGAATGCATCATAATGTAAGAAAAACAGTTTTGTTGGGTAGGTTGTATCGGACCACATATGATCAGATTGTAAACACAGAGAGGTATTTGTATGATAATTCTTTTTTTCTCTAGTCTGATTAGTAGTTAGTTCACCTATATTTAGAGCAGAAATAGCAAAATGGGCACATCACCCAATGAAGAAAAACTAAGAGCTGCTTCTAACCTAGTGGTTATTCAGAAGATGAAGATAAAAGATAAAACTATTCTCTATTGTGCTTTAATCATGACTCAAAACTCAGATAATTTTATCCTTCAAATGTCTGACCATACAATTACACAATTAAGAAATTAAAATTTCTACATAACCTAGTCAAACGTAATACAAAGTTGGAGTACTAGGAAATATTTAATTAATGATAATTCTACCACAATGAAGTGGATAGAGAGGTGAGGTTTTAAACTAATAGTACAGGTTTCGATTCCTTGAGTGAATATAAACTATCAGCTGCCGGTACATTCGACTAAAGGTTCTCTTACTTACACCTGTTATCCCTCGTCAAGGAGTACTGG